GTGAGTCGGGCCCCGCCTCTCCACGGCTGCCAGCTTCCCAGCGCAGTCACCATCCGCTGGCCTCGCCTCCGTCCCTCCCTGCTCCCAGGCCGCTTCCACTCAGCAGTGGGGAAGGTGTTTCAGAACAAACATCTGAGAATGTCACAGTCCCTCCTACAATCCTCACCGGGCCCCTGGGGACCCCACTCCTCTCACCACTATGCCGTAGCCTCTCACTGCAGCCACACTGGCTCTCGGGACCCGCCCTGTCCAGGTTCCCTTGTTCCCTGAGGCCTCTGCACATGCTGCTCCCCTGCCGGGCACACTGAGCCAGCCCGTCTCTCCTCGCTGACTCCTGCACTTCACATCTCAGCACAAGTGTCACCTCTCCAGAAGCCTCGGGCAAAAACAGGGCCTGCCCCACACTTTCATCATTGCCTTTGGCGTGGTAATGATACTCCAGCAGCCACTGATGCACTCCTGGGCTTGTCCCCCGGCCATAACGAGGGCCGTGTCTGTGCTGGCCGCAGACCCTGGGCTGATTCCGCCAGCTCCAGGCTTCGTAGGGGAAGAGCTTGGAGGACCCGTCCCCACGGCCCCTCTCGGTGCACGCTTGCAGAGCTCCACTTCATCTCCTAGTCTGGTTCTGCAGACTTCTCGGGGCCTTCCATCACTTCTGGCTCCTCCCCGTGTTCCATAGTTCCTCCCAGGTCAAGGATTCGCTTGGCCCCCACACCTGCTGACCTCTGTCATGGGCCTTACTCGGACTCAGGTCAGAGAAGAGCCTTTGCCCTGTGGACAGGATGCCACTTCCTACTCCCAGCATGGACTCCCAGTGACACCTCTGTGTTTAGTGAGGGTCAGTGGTGTCCCACTTGGCCAGGGAGAACCCCAAGAGGTACTCCCCGAGCAGGGTCTTGGGGACGAGCAGACAAGCAGGGACCGCATCCAGCCTGCGCTGGGTGATAAAAGCCGTGCAGCCTTCCCAGTTCTCAGCAAGGTCTGGATGACCAGTCGGTGAACAGCTGCACTGCAGCTGTGGCTGCGGTGGCCGCCCTGTCCTCCCCATGTCTGACCTCCACGTGGCCTCACAGCTCACCCTGCCCCTGGAGCCAGCAGCCTGTCGGCAGCCTCTGCTTTCACTCTCTCCCTGTCCTCCAGCCCACGCTGTGCTCAGTGGCTTACAGTCTGCATGTGGCTGAGGCCGACCGAAGCCCCAGCATGCGAGGCACCTGACACTATCAAGACTGAAACCTGGGCTCCCAGAGGCCTTGCCCCGCACATCACCATGCGGGCCAGTCTGTCCACATGCGACCTAAGGATGTCGTTACCGTCCATGTCTCTCTCCTCTGTGTGCGCTCTCCCCAGAGCAGAGGGAACAGACTCTTGGAACTCCTGGAGAACCAGATGCACGGCCCTGCCTCGCTGTGAGCCTCCCTCTAGGGCAGGTCAGTCTTCCCGTGCACCTCCCCTGCCAGGCCTCTTCTCCCATCCTGCCTTCAAAGAGGCTGTCTCCCGCTGGCAGCACAGGCCCCTCACTCTGCCACTTCTCTCCTGACTTGTTCATCAGTTCTTGTCCAAAAAGGAACTGGAGCCAAGAGTTCTAATCTTCCCAGCTCATAGACTAATTCACTCAGAAACTCCCTTCCCTTGGGAGCTAGATTTTGCTGTTGGGTTCTAATGGAAGGAGAAACCCAGGCCAAGGGGCATGCTCACTCCAGAGATCCCAGCACAGCTGGGCGGGAATCACCATGTATGGAAACCAGCACCGTCAGCTCCATGATCCTAGCCACCCCTCTGCTCATCACACCCATCGCACCTGCCATGGTCTGTCCCCCCCAAAGCCCGTGATGGAGTTCAATGCCCACTGAGAGGTATTAAGAGAGTGATGATTGAGTCTGACTGTGGTGCTTACAGGCAGTGCCTTTGGGAGGCGATTGGGATTAGGTGAGGGCATCAGGGTTGAGCTCCAGAGATGGAATACTTGTTATTTTATGGGGGGTGGGGAAAACACCACAGGATACACACAAGGATGCACACACACACACACATACACACAGCCCGTGTTTTGCCACAGGATGTCCTTTGCCATGTTAGAACTCTGGCAGCAAGAAGCCATCATCAGATGTGCCCCTCAAATTTGGACCAGGACTGTGAACAAAAATAAACCTCTTTTCTGTACAGTTTATCCAGACAGTGATGTTGGGTTATAAAAGCAGCAGAAAATGGACTAATACAGACCACTGCCATCATCCAGTGAGCAGCACCACCTGTGTCTTGATCACCTTTTCCATTGCTTCCATCATTGTCATTGCCACCATGGCCAAGAGTCATTCCCACCATCATTCCCACCACTGACAACACAGCCATCCCCAGTGGCACATACTGTCACCTGCACCAACACCACAGACACCCAGAGTGTCACTGTACCACCTCACTGTCACCACCACTACCACCGCAGCCATCCCCAGTGTCACTGTACCACCTCACTGCCACCTCCACCACCACCACAGCCATCCCCAGTGTCACTGTACACCTCACTGTAACCTCCACCACCACCATAGCCATCCCCAGTGTCACTGTACCACCTCACTGTCACCTCCACCAACTCTACCACAGCCACCCCCAGTGTCACTGTACCACCTCACTGTAACCTCCACCACCACAGCCACCCCCAGTGTCACTGACCACCTCACTGTCACCTCCACCACCACAGCCACCCCCAGTGTCACTGACCACCTCATTGTTACCACCACTACCACAGCCATCCCCAGTGTCACTGTACCACCTCACTGCCACCTCCACCACCACAGCCACCCCCAGTGTCACTGTACCACCTCACTGTCACCTCCACCAACTCTACCACAGCCATCCCCAGTGTCACTGTACCACATCACTGCCACCTCCACCACCACAGCCACCCCCAGTGTCACTGTACCACCTCACTGCCACCTCCACCACCACAGCCACAGCCAGTGTCACTGTACCACCTCATTGCCACCTCCACCACAGCCATCCCCATGTCACTGTACCACCTCACTGTCACCTCCACCACCACCAAAGCCACTGCCACCTGCACCCATGCCCACTGCACACTAATCCTATCATCAACAACACAGCCATCTCCTTCTCAAACAACCATTATTACCATCACTGGCACCTCCAATCCCATCACCGCACAGACACCTTCTGTCCTCTCCAAGAGACCCCTCCACCACTGCTCAGCACCTATTCCGCATCTTCTCAGATACTCTCAGACCCTTGACCACTGCTGCTACCTCAGGCAGCTGGATTCTTGCAGGCCTACATGGTTGTGTCATTGGAGGCTGACAGATTTCCCTGCCAGGGTCCCAGGCTCCCGCTGCATTTTCAAATCTGCAGAAGCAGCAGTGTGTATCGTGTGGGATCCGGTTTCCAACACTGCTGCTGCCGCGGGGCTGAAGGACACTGAGGAAGTTCAGGATCCCAGCGAGAGGGATTTGGAAAGAGACAAAATTCCATCTCCTTTCCCCTTCTAACAGACTGTTCTGAGGCACTTCGGCCAGAGGTGTCCTGTGTGGCTAGCGGGATGGGTCCCATCCTAGGCAGCTGTGACTCCTTGTGACTCATCGGAAGCCTGGGGAGTAGCACACCATGCTGCATCCTTCCCTGCCCTTTACTCCCTGGCTCACTCCTGCTGCCCGGAGTCTGCACGGCCAGAATAAAGCACCGACCCCTAAACCTCCCCTCGGCCTCTAATTCCCAGGGAAACCTAAGGTATCATCTTAAAGGCGTTCACAACACGGACGTCTTGGGAGGAAGCCAAGGACAGCAGAGAGCTAAGCGGCTATCCCGGTAGCAAAAGAAAGCGCTATGACTGACAAGGGTATTCTGTGTGGCTACTGGGAGAAGGGGCGGCAAGGCCTCTCTACTCCCCCGGGAAAGCTTGGCAGCCCATTCCTAGGCAGGGCTTGGCATGGGGGCCCAGGGACTCAAGGCCCCTACTCTATAGTTCCCTGGGGAAAGGACCTCATTTTTTTTCTTTGCCCTATCTGAAGTGCTCAGATACTGCTCCAAAGATTCTTAGGAATGCTAAGCACTGGCATGACTTCCTTAGACTTGTATCTCTGCCTTCTATGTGAGTCAGTGGACACTAAAGTCCCCACATCCAGAGGCCACCTGCCCATCACATGGCAGCACCCTGTGACCAGGACTAGGACTCCCCCATCAGTCTAGGGCAGGAAGCAGGTGACTCTCCTGGAACTCCAGGCCGGGACGATGCAGGCCAGTCGTGAGAACACAACCCCGGCCATGAGAGAACACAACCATGGCACTGAGGTGGACGCTCTGTTCCTCTTGCATATCATGGCCTCCGCCTCCATGACAGCTGTGCCCCAGGCCAGATCCTGGCCTCCCTGTACTCACTCCGTCTGCCCAGGGCCAGTTCTTATCAAAGAGCCCGCCACTGTCCTCCTTAGGCCCTCTTGCCAGGGATCAAGTCACATTCATAAAACAGTAGCCCCCTTTGCACTTCTCTATGTCTGCACGAAATGGAATGAATTCTCAATGCATTTGGGAGACAGAAAAATACTAGCAAGTAACCCCACACAGGAATTGCTGTGGTGGAAAAACATTGTCATGTGGGGGAAATTTAAAGCCCTCTCTGTCCCCCCACACCAGCACGCCAGTCACTCTGCCTCCAGGCTCCCTGGCATCCCCAACAAGCCAGAGGCAGCCATGCCATGCTTCCATCCACTGCAAGGCTGTGGAGGAGTGGGCAGGCGCCTCAGCCAGCACCAACCCCAAGCTTGCCTCCCGAGGGGCTCCCTGCCTTTAGAGATACCGAGCATAAAACAGAAGCAGAGAAGATACCATGGCTGCCCACTTCCAGCAGCGACCCAACCACTTTTTGTCAGGAAATCGCAAACCTTTCTGGTTGTGGTGCAAGCCTGTTTCCACCTGCCACGGACTTGGAGCTCGGCTCCGTGATGTGCTGCCTGGCTCTGGCCTCCATGGGGGCAGCGATATTGTATCAGGGTTACCTGACTTCTGGATCTCTGGTTGACATGTGTGAGTCTCCTTCCAGCATGCTGAGGTCCGAGAGCGATGGACAGGTGGGGAGGACGGGTTCTTCACTCCACCCTCCTTGGAAGGCTCTCACCAGGCATGGCCAGGGCCCCAGTCATCAGATTCTCCAGGGCAGCGGCTGGGGTACTGTGGGGCTGGGGGTGCTGGGCCCCAGGCGGCACCTGTGGAAGAGGAAACTCTTATGTTTCAAGTCTGGTGTGAGATGCAGTCCAGCAACGTGAAGTTATGAAAGACAGCGCTCAGGACCCAGTGAGGCTCTGCAATGCTGGTCCTGGGAGGCAGCGCCTGGCATCTGATTGGCTTGGGATCCAGGGCAGACACTGGAATCCCCACCCTGGAGCCCTTGGCTCCCTTTTCTTGACTACTGGCTACTCTCAGTGTGCAGAGGAAGATCCACAAGACAGTCTTGGTAAAGCAAGGCAGTAGGGAAGGGAAGGACAGCCCAAGGAGCCTCCAGGTCATGTGTGTTATCCTAGAGCGGGCTCCAAATGGCCCGGCAAGGCAGGTAGGCACATCTCCATGTAGCGTCAGAGGTGGCCTTGGTGAAAGGAGGAAGGGGTGGAGGGAAAGGCCTCTGGTCTCAGGCAGCGTCAGGTCAGCATCAGCGGCAGGGGTCTCTAGGCACCACCCACCTCTCGCCGTGCAGGTGGGCTGTTTCACAGCAGTGGATAACATGACATCTCATCCCTAACCGTCACATGGTAAGAGAAATGGACTCGCTCGTATTCCCAGGATGCTCATCAGGGCTCCTGCTCCATATTTCAGAGATGCTCCTGGCTCTCCCTCCTGGGGCTCAGCTTCATTCCCAGATGGTGCGGGAGCTCCTGGGGTGTGGTCAAGCAGGGCTATGCCAGAGGAAGGAGAGACCCCCATCTCCCCATGTCTCTGTGTCCCTGTCTTTGGTGTGAGGAGACTTTCCTGGAAGCCCCTCATAGCTCCTTCCTAAATCCTTGCAGGCAAGAGAGGCATCGCCATCCAGTTCAGCAGACCCGTTAGTGGGGCCTCAGGCTCTCTGAGTGCCATGGCTGCCTCTACAAGCTGCTCCCGAATCCCTGCAGGAGCCCCCCTCCCAGCCCCTCCTGCACCAAGCAATGCTACAGACAAACAAAGGAAGGACCCCGCTGTCCAGCCCCAGGGGTTCACAGACCAACAAGGATGTAAGACAACAAGGAGAGACCCCACCTCGGCCAGCTCCTTCCCAGGCTTCAGCAAGGAAGCTCTGTAGAGTGAAACAGGGAGGGCCCTAGGTAGAGAGAGGGGCTCAGCTGGCCCCATAGCAGGTATTTCACTGGGGCTAAGACCCAGAGCCTGGGCACTTGGGGCAATGTGCATGCAGAGGTGGGCACCGGGGGACGGCATAGGGAGGGGCCGTGAGCTTAGGAGGGAAGCTGGGGGACAATCTGAGAGCAGGGAAGGCTCAAGTTTGTGTCTGGCAAGTGTCTCCCCTCTTCTAAATCACACACCTCCCATGGAAGACATTCTCCCGGGAAGACCTGTGAGGGCTTGTGGGGCAGGAGGACAAGGGCAGGAGTCGGGGAGCTCATGAGGAAGGGAGCAGGGGGTATGGAGATGCCCTAGGCAGGCTGCAAGGAGAGGGCTCCTCCCACCCATGGACCCCAGGAAGCCCCTGGCAAGGAAGGAGGCTCGGCAGCTCTCCCCCTCAGGTCCAGGGAAGACAGGAAAACTTGGGAGAGTGTGCCCCCCGCTGGCCAGTGGGGACAGGAGCGACCACCCAGCAAGCCCAGGCCCAGGCCCCAGGGGCCATGCAGTCCAGGAAAGGCCAGCAAGCCCCAACCCCCCACCCCCACCCAGAACATTTGTCTTTTTGGTCCTGGGCCGGGGGTGGGGGGGGTGGGGTGGGGGGTGTCTGAGGGCCCCTTCTACCCCGGAACCTGGTGGAAGTGATCCTACGGCCTCAGCCCCTTAGCCCCAGCCTCTCTAAGGCCTCTTTCTCTGACACCAGGCCTGGATCCCAGGGAGGAGGCTGGGCAGGCCACAGTCCCAAGGAATTCCCAGCCCAGCTGGCTCCAAAAATGAGGCTAAAACACAGTCTCCCCCAACCCAAATGGGACCGAGGGGTGCCTGCCCTGCTGCGACAAGCCTCACACAAGGGAGGCTGGAGGCCAAGGGTTTGCTGCCCCGGGGTTTCACTCACTCTGATGATCAGGCTTCTAAGGGAAGCCAGGAATTGAGCCAATTTGTTTCCCTCTCATTTATGACAGAGATCAAGATTTTTTTCAAAGGTTTCCCCCAGGACACTCTACTTCCATTCCAGCTTCCTGTTAATGCACAATGAAAGCAGAGAATGACAGTCCAAGAGCTTGGGTCCCTGCCACCTGTGTGGAATATCGTGATGGAGTTCCTGACTCCTGGCTTCAGCCTAGCCCAGGGCTGTTGTAGTCATTTGGGGAGTGAACCAGCAGATGGAAGATCGATCTCTCTCTCTCTCTCTCTCTGCCTCTCTCTCTCATGCTCTGCCTTTCAAATAAATAAATAAATATTAAAAATCCAACAAGGCCTCCCCAGAGCTTAGAAACACGTGATGGGCTGGCGCCGCGGCTCACTAGGCTAATCCTCCGCCTTGTGGCGCCAGCACACCGGGTTCTAGTCCCAGTCGGGGCACCGGATTCTGTCCCGGTTGCCCCTCTTCCAGGCCAGCTCTCTGCTGTGGCCTGGGAGTGCAGTGGAGGATGGCCCAAGTCTTTGGGCCCTGCACCCACATGGGAGACCAGGGGAAGCACCTGGCTCCTGCCTTCGGATCAGCGCGATGTGCCGGTCGCAGCGCGCCGGCCGCGCCGGCCATTGGAGGGTGAACCAACAGCAAAGGAAGACCTTTCTCTCTGTCTCTGTCTCTCTCTCTCTCTCACTATCCACTCTGCCTGTCAAAAAAAAAAAAAAAAAAAAAAAAGAAAGAAAGAAAGAAAAGAAACACGTGATGGTGTTCCCCATCCCCTTCTGTCCTGGATGAACCTCTCCCACTACAGTTGAAGCCTCTGGGACACAGGGGTGCTGGGGGCAAAGGCCACCGAGGAAGAAAACAGGGCTCCCATCTTTGGAGGCCCCCAGTCTGGTGGTTCCTGTCCTTAAAGAGCCCCCAGCCTCTGGGGGAGACGGGCCAGCCCTCCTCAGAGGATGGCGGCCCAAAGCAGACAAACACACAAAGTAGAGCAGAAATCATAAACACATTTTATTTCTAAATAATTTTAAAACCACTGGCATTGTAGCAAATTGGAATATATTTCCAGAATCGACTCAAAGAGTTTTTTTTCTTTTACGGCAACATATGAAAAATGTCATTTAAATATCCACAGCAGCTGTACCACATGTTAGGCTCTTAGGAAAACACTCTCATTCCTTTCATCAAAGTCCCTTGATTAATGTTCCACTTTTCTTTGACACTTTTTCCGTAGGTTTTTTTTTTTTAAATCAAAGCCTGCACTATTATCTGGAAGAAAATTAAACCGATAAGATTTAATGTCTGCTATAGTCTACAATCATGACAAAAAATAAATAAAATATCATTTAGGCCTTGGGCCAAATGCAAATGAGCATTAAGCAGAGGGTGCATCCTTACTGGAGGCTTCTGGGAGAGGTGAGGCTGGAGGAGGCAGATGGAGGAGCAGGAAGGGCCTGCGTGGGCACCAGTGGGGGTGGCTGGTGTGAAAGTTTGCAGGCGGGGAGGGAGGCAGAGGAGGCCTGGGCAGAGGCGGCTTCGCAGCCAGGGCGTCCCAGCGCGCGGAGCAGAGGCAAACACACCCCACCCTGAGAGAATGCCACGGATGCCCAAGGGCCACCTGCAGCAGGGGCAGCGGGCACTGCTGGGATTTTGTGAATGGGACTGGGAGGGAGGCAGCTGACTGGGGCTGAGAGAGAAGCGGAGCGCGGGAAGGAGGGCGGGGGAGCGGCGAGCCAGAAGCTGCGCCAGTGGGAAGGCTGGGCAGATGGAGTGAGGGGAAATCGCAGCGTGTCTGGCACGGCAGCTGATGCCATAATTTAAAGGTCAGCTCAGTGGAAAAGGAAGAGAAAACGGGGGAGGGGGGTGGTGTTGGGATGACTTTGCTTCCACAGGACAGCACTTAACCCCTCGCGTACCGGTGCTCTCCTCTCCTGGTGGGACATCCTGGGACTGGGATGGGAGGGGTGAGGGGGCTGCGCCCACAGCATGGGCTCTGCCTCCTGCCTCCTCCCTCCTCCTCTTCGCACCTCATCAGAGTAGAAGCAACTCAACCTCCCCAAACCTCAGCTGCTCCCTCCACAAAACAGGGCTGGGAACACCTGATCCTGGCGGGGTTTGCTGGGAAAGGCGAGTGGCGCCCTGGGTGTAAGGACCTGGGGGAACAGTCTGAAAGTGGCTCACCTTTCTGGGCTTATCTAAAGGAGGCGGCTCAAATTTACCTTTGAGAAAGAGGGTGGTCCCTTTGTTCTGGGAAGACCACCATTTAGGCAAATCAATCAACATAAATAAAAAAAATCTTGGAGGCATTCTGCATCCCAGGGCAACGTCCTGGGACACAAGTGGTCTCCCTGAGCCCGCAAAGCTGTGCTGCTGGCATCACCAGCTCCTGCCTTTGCCGCCGCCTTGCCCCGGCTCTACGTGGGAACAGGGACACCGCTCAGCAGCAGCCCCCGTCTCCTGGCTGGGCTGCTGCTTCGAGAGGAATGCTACTTTTCTCCATATGGACTTGGACTGCCTCGTGCCTATAAATTATGGCAAGTTCGCGGGGAGCTATGGAGGTTTTTGTTGGAAGAGGTATGTGCCGGAGGGCTGAAGGGGAAACCCCCAGGGGTTGCAGGAAGGACCCGGAGGCCTGGACTTCAGCTCAGACTGGGGGAGGCCGCGTGAGGGAACTAGACGGTGCAGGCTGCCTGCTGGGGGCGAGGTAAGGGTGAGAAGCCCTCACTGAACGGGGGTGCTCCCTATCGGGTGCCAAGCCCACAGGCAGTTCATCTCTGGAGGCACAGGACGAAGGACTGGAGGGCTTGGGAGCATGGAGCCTCGTCTGCACTCTGCCTGAAGACCCTGGGAGGGCCACAGTGCTCCAGCCTCCACAACCCAAGGGCTGGCCCGAGTCCCACTGGCCTCTCACTTCCCTCTGTCATCTCAGACTCTTTGGTGATTCTTTAAGGTCACAGCAAGATCCCCTGCTGACCCTCCTACCAA